AAGGTCAGGAGTTCAAGACCAGCCTGGCCAATATGATGAAACCCCATCTCTACTAATAATACAAAAATTAACTGGGCATGGTGGAATGCACTTTTAGTCCCAGCTACTCAGGAGACTGAGGCAGAAGAACTGCTTGAGCCCATGAGGCAGAGGTTGCAGTGAGCCAAGATTGTGCCATTGCACTCCAGCCTGGGTGACAGAGCAAGACACAGTCTCAAAAAAAAAAAAAAAAAAAAAAGAGGATGAGGGAATTGAATGGAAATACTGCAACTAATAAATACACTGAAATAAATAAGTATAATGATAAATTTAATAGTAGATTTGACATATCTGAGAACACCTGTAGTAAACTGGAATTTAGATGATATCATTTTTCATAATGATAAACATATCAATTCAAGAGGATATTACACCATAACCTTGTAATAAAATATTGATTGAAGCACATAGAGATAAATGGATAAAATTTTATTACAGACCATTCTGATATATATGTATATATGTATCATATCAGAATATGTGTGTGTCCATATATATACTTTTATGTATATGTATATATATGTTACATATATATATATAAAAAATACAGAAAAGTTCTAACGTCCATATAATTAGTATTCTATTTGAAGAGAGAGAGAATGGGTAGATGTAATATTAGTAGAAATAGTGCCTAAGAATTTTCCAAACAGATAAAAGCCATCAGTCACAGATTCAAGAAACTCTATAAAGCCCCAGCAGGTTAAAAAAAGAAAAAAACTATATCTAGAAAATTCATTTTAAAAATTGCTGAAAATCAAAGACAACTTGATAAACCTCAAAAGTAATTAGAGAAAAATGATAAATTAAACAGGGAAAAGAAGACTTACAGCTGACCATGTAATAAAATGAAAGAAGTGAGAAGACAATGGAATGACTTGGTGAAAATCTACAACTTAAAATTCCATACCCAATGAAAATATTATTTAAAAATTAAGATGATATTAAGACAAGATGATTTTCAGGGAAACAAAAACGAAGGGAATTTTTTCACACCAGTTTTTATACTGTGACTAAAATGAGAATTTTTCAGTCAAAAAGAAAATAATCCCAGATAGAAGCACCATAACACAGGACAGAGTGCAGAGCACTGGAAATGATAAATATGTGGATAGTGTAAGAGAACATTGACTATTAAAATAACAATAACATTAATGTCTTGTGGGTTTTCAAATATATGTAGGATTAAAATGCATGAAAACAATAGCATAAAAGGCAGGTGTGGGGCAGGTAAATGGAGACGGACTGTTTGGGATCTTTGCATTGCCAAGGAAATGGCAAATGTATGAAATAGATTGTAATGAGTTGTAGCCCCTAAAATAAAGATAATAAAAGAATATATATTCAATAAGCTAATAGAAAGAGAGAGGTAACGTGTTAATGTAAACAGGTATTATTCTGAAAATAAGCAATAAATATGGAAACAAGGAAAGAAGAAACAGAAAAGGTTAATAGGTAACAGCAAGATCATAGACAAACCTAAATGAATTTGTAATGTATTAAATATTAAATTATTTAAAGAATAGATGCTAAAAGACAAAGTTGTCAGACTGCATCAAACAAAATACAAATATATGCTGCTTTTAAGAGAGCACTGTTAAAAATAAAGTGACAGAAAAATTGAAAATAAAATAATAGAAATACATACACCATGCAAGTGATAATTCAAAGAAGCTTGTGTTACTCTACTGTTACAAGTGATAGAATAAAATTTAAAGAAAGTAATATTTCTTGAGGTAGAAATGTTTTATGATAAAAATGTGAATTCAAGAGGATGATACATGATAACCTTATAATAGTCTATAAAACAAGATGCTGAATATGTACAGGAATAAAACAGCATGTTTGTGAGTATATCATATAGGTATATATTCTTCATATCTTCATGCATATGTATATTCACACTGGATGCAGATGGATCCCAAGAAGGGTAAGTGACATTGGGTTAAGCAGCTGTCTTCAGTCAAGAGCTATTTCTAGAGGTTGATGACTAAGACCTGTCAGCAGACAGTGTTCACAGTTGGTGGAAAAGTCCTTCAATCCTTAAGAAAAATACTAATGTGTCACAGGGTCCAGTATAAATATGACGTATTCCAGGAATTGTAATGCAATCAATGTAATCCATTGCATCAGTAAAAGAAAGGGGAGAAAACCCATATGTTTATTTTGTTACTGCCAAAAATGCTTTGATAAAATTCAATACCCATTCATGATTTTTTAAAAATCTCATCAAACCAAGAATAGAAGGTAATTTCCTTAATCAAGTAGAGACTATTGACATACAATTTATAGCAAATATCATACTTAGTAAATTATTGAAGGCTCATCCCCTAAAACTAGGAGTGCAACGAGGTGTCAATTACTCTCATTTTTATTCAAAATCAGATGGGAGGTCCTATCAAGCTCAATAAAGCAAGAGAAAGTGACATTAGGATTGGAAAGAGAAAAAATTGTAACTGCCATTATTTGCAGATCATATGAGTATTTCCTGGAGAAAATTCAAAAGGATGTAAAGATGAAATATTAGTTGACATCTAACTTA